CAACTGCATATCTATCAATCTATGTGTCCTTTGATGCCAATCTTTACATTTTTTTTTTTTTTTAATTGTGCATGAAACCTATAATTTCCCCCTGGGAGATGGGAGAACCGTCCCTGTTTCAGGCATGTGCCGCGTTCTTGTAGTCAGTCAATCCTGTCTCCTAATAATTACGTTCCCACAGAACTAAACGGCATTCTCAATTACGTTTAGTTAGAAAAGTATTTTCTCCCGCGTTACGTTTGTTATGAACGCATCTTAAATATGTTTAGTTTTGACATATCTTCTAGAAACGTATTTTCTCCCACGTTACGTTTGTTATGAACGTATCTTAAATACGTTTATTTTCTACATATCTTTGCCATTTATTGTCTTGCTTATAATAATGATAATAGTCATTTATAAATATCATTTTAGAGCACACATTTGAAATCGAGAATCGGGCTCGATATATGATTAAATTGAACTGCATTGTGCTTCCGTTGCTTCGCTTTGCCTCCGTTGCTCGCGCTGATAGTTGAGAAAAATTCAACTTATTAAGAGTCGATGGAAGCGCCAGCCAATCAAATCATATGCCAGTACAAGCGCTAGCCAATCAAACCGCGTGCTTGTGTGTCCGGGGCGAGAGATTAATGTGGTTGTTGGTCGCGCGCCAGACACGCCCACCGGCAAGCTTCAACGCAACGGAACCGTGTGGACGATACGGAAGAAGAGGGTCACTGTGAAGCTGACCATTGAGCGGCCCGACCAAGCAAGGAGGCAGAGAGTTCAAATATAACCCGGTGTGGGCATTTATTACCCTTTTTTCTTATGGATACACAGCCTCAATATGACTGTCTCCCGTGAACACAGTCACCAGCAACAAAGACCTCACACACACACTAACAGGAAAAACAGCCCCTAAATACACACAGACTAATCAAACCAACAAGACACAGGTGAAGGGGGAGGAGACAACACAGGTCACCAGGTCACCACAATCAGCAGCAACAGACAAGACGGGAGGGGGAACACTTTTCAAAAATAAAACCAAGGAACAAATCAACATACTTCGCCAATAAGGACGCTACACAATACATAACGGAGGCCGAGATCTATGGCCCCAAAGATCACTTCCGTTACATTTACTGACAGAACCTTGTTTCACTCATCATTGGATCAGGGATCCGTGATGGGTCCTCTCCTTTTTTCTCTTTAAATCAATTCACTTGGATCTGTCATTTGCTTTCTTTGCAACACAGCCACGCACGCAGATGAAACGTAATGCTGTCTTAAACCGAGGTGGTTGCCAAATCTCTACTTGTCTAGCTGATATCTCTCAGTGGATGTCTGCACATCACTTGAAGCAAAACCTGGACAAGAGCAAACAGCTGTTTTCCCCCCCCTGAAATACCATGAATTCACTGGAGTAACAAATCAGACAGATTAATTAAAGCTGCGGTTAATTAAAGCCGCTCCGCTGTTGTCCGCTGTTGTCCGCTGTTGTCCGCTGTTGTCCTCACGTCGACGCATCAAGCAGATGTTTTCCGGAGTCGGCCTTTGGCAAACGTGGGATTCTTCAGGCCGATCGGACAATGCCTATAGGAGTTACAGCAGTAACATAAACATTGTGTTTGATGGCGAGTGATCTGTCGCCATGGCAACGGCATTTGATGACACTCCATAATATACTTAGATGTCTTGAGGGCTGCATCGTTACCAAACCTGTGAATTTATTTTCTGTCCGGAGCATGGAATTATGAGAAAACGTGTTTCATGGCGGGCATTATGTTGACATGGCAACGGCATTTGACGAAATCTCAAAACTGACTCTTAGATGTCTTCAGGGCTGGACTGTTAGCACAGATGTGAAGTTTGAGCACTTTTTGACCATTTTCATAGGAGTTATAGCAATATCGTTTGTTATGGTGAGTAATGTGTTGTCATGGCAATGGTGTTTTAGGGAATCTCACAATTGTCATATAGACATGTTGAGGGCCGGACCGTTAGCCATCATCTGAAGTCTGGTGCCGTTTAGACCATTTTCCTAAGAGTTACAGTAAGACAACATCGTGTTTTTTGGCGAGGGATGCGTTTCCATGGAAACGGCATATGGTGAAACCTGAGATTTGGCCTAGAGCTGTTGAGGCATGGAGAGGTGATATATAAGTGAAGTTTGGGGAACGATCGGACCGTGTCCATTGGAGTTACAGTGACATCGTGTTTTATGGCGAGGGATGCGTTGCCATGGTAACGCCACATTATGTAACCTCAGATTTGTTTCGTGATAACTTTTTTCCACCAATGTCTCGAGATGCTACCCGCGTAACTTCACTAATACGATTTTTGAGTTATTGAAAAAAAATTAATAAATAATAAATATCAAAACGACTCATCAAAGTACAGGCGCAATGCGAACCATCGAAGTCGATCAGACCTTGAAGTCGAGACCACGTCGTCCAGGGCGGAGCGAGACGGAGAAACGGGAATAAACCTCGTCCGACCTCATCCGCCTCACTTGAGACTGAAGGTGACAGCTCGGCAATCACCGGCTGAGGCGGAGCATTCCGAAGAGCGTTGAGACGTCTTGGGATACACACTGCAGTGCCTGGGATCGCAGGTAATATATATGATCAGATACTATATCGGATTATTTAAGTTAGATGATACCTGTACAATCTACAAAAATAGGTCCTTCCTTTTCGACTCCCGACTGCTATCCAAAATAGGTTGTCGCGGATTCTATTAGTTATGCACCCGTTTAGCGTGTGCCTCGTCAACACCACTTCACAGAACGGTTCCCTGTGTTGCTGTTGACGACTTGACGTCCACCCCAAACTTGGACACTTGGGGGCTAGGCTGTGGTTGTTTGATCAGGTGACGGCGGTGTGCGGAGGGGAAGATAGTTCATATATTATTACAAGACTACTGATCCCTAAAACATCAAGGCTGTCAGGAGGTTTAAGCNTTCCTGATCTCATTCACCCAGGTGGTTTTTACTTCTGCCGTCGGAGCCTGAAACAGGACGGTAAATTATTTAAATAAAACCTATATAGAAAGGTTTGGTGCATTCTGGAGGAAGGTATCCATTTGCATGTGTATTGGTCAAAGACAGAACATTTTACATTAACCCTTGTGTTGTGTTCAAAAGCTGTTACCGTTCATGGTGTTCGCGGGTCAATTTTGACCCATGATTTATCTCAGTCCAAAACATTCTGACTATCATCCAATATTGTTTTAACTACATCATAACTAACTTATTATGCATTCATAACCGTACAATCCTGTTACAATCCAAAAAACATTACACCACATATTTAATTAAAACATGTGATTCAATTCCCTCATTGTATTTCCTATATGTGAAGACAGTGGATCATTACGTTATCTGACTACAATAGACTAATATTAGAATACAATCTCACCAAGAAAAGTTTTAAATTATTGTTACAGTTGATGAAGGGGGTGGGGGTGGGGTGTCTAAAGTCAAAGATGAATCTTGATTGGGCCAAATTGGACCCCGAGTGACCCACAACAATGCTGCTGGGTCTCCCCAGACCCCAACACCAAATGATACACTTTGTTTTTTTAGAGACCTTCAACTGGGCTAAAATTGTCAAAATCAGTTTTGTAGTGTTTATAAAGCTGGAGGATATCATGAAGCCTTGTTCCGATACAAAAAACTAGAGCGTAGTTATTATATAATTTTAACTTGAAACGGGTCACGGGAGACCCGAACACAACATAAGGGTTAAAGATAAATCCTGTCATTTTAAATGTATAATTCTCAACAAATTCCATAAAATAAAACACAGAAATGTTTCCTCCTTCCTAAGGCTAAGCAATTTCCTAAACAGCGAGGCACTGAAAACGTTCTGTTGTTTTAGAAATTATTTTTAAAACAACAGTACGTTTGGCTTCAATATTAGCATCACATTATTAAGAGCAAGTGAGAATTTGCAGCACCAGGATGTAGATGAGGGATTGAATAAGCTCTATAGCAGAGAGGCTTTATCAGGCTTGGGCTCCAGTTCTACTACTTCATGGGTTTTGTTTACAATTCAAATAAAACATAGCATATCAACACGGTTAACCTTTACACGTCACCGTACCTGAACAATATACACCTCTTCTCTGGAGTTGCACCAGATTTCAAACTTCTTGTTGTCTCCCTTTGCATTCTCAGTAATGCCGACCGCACTCATCTGTAATCAAAGATATCAACCAATCAATACAAATGATTGTTATAAATATATAAATATAATGTAAATGGCAGTATAGGAGACAAACACATCAACAGCCGAACAGGTGCTCACATTGAGGGACTGTTTGAAGCTGTATGAGGGGGCCTTCTCGTAGCCCTCCCCGTTCTCCTCCCTCCTCTTGCAGAAGAGCAGCGTCTTCTGGTGGAGGAAGAGGTGCCTCTGCATGGGCTTGAAACGGGCCAGATCCTTGACCTTGGCGTGACCTTTCTTGTGCTCCGTCCACACGCTGAATGAGCCCTGCATCAGCAGCTTCCCCAGCTCACTCTTGTTCCCCTGAGAAAAGAAAGGTGCTGTAAGACAGAGCCAACTGCTTTGTACTGAAATACTGTAAAGAGGCCATCGTTAGATTTTTAAAACAACTCAATCTCTGTTCCATTTAATGCATCTGTTTTCTGTCCAGTCTCTGTTCTGTGATGTGAACCAGTGCGACCTGCAGTGATGCACTTTATGTGTGTTTACTGGCACTTTACCACTAAACACCAAGGGCACTGTGTATTGTTTTTTATGAATTGCCTTTGTATTGTTGATTTAGCATGTTTTTATATTATTTGTACTAAACTTGAACAGTTCATGTTGTATTTGTTATGCATTTCAGTTGCATTAAACAATTGTTGTTGTTTTTTAAATGAATGTTTCTCCTTCCCTTTTTACTGTAAAAATTGGTTTTCTGTCTAGTTTTGTGTTATAGGCCGGTGTCCATCTGGAGCAGTGGTTCCCAACCTGGGGGGCGCCAGGCCTCAGATGATTTGAGGCCAAATATCATATTTAGACTTTTTTTTTTACATACAGTATAATTGTAACTCAATACATGATTGTCACTAAAAGCCTTGTCTCTACATTACAATAAAATATTAAAAATAATTGATTAATTCGTTTTTAATAAAAATTCAAGTTAGTAGCTATTAAATGCATAAAAAGACAGAAATGTATAATTCTTTCTATAGAAATGTTTCTTCTGCCCGTAAAGTGTCCAAACCAGGCTTGTCTGGATAAGCGCATTTTTTAAAACATAGTCATTGTCCATGCCGGTTTCAGTTGGATTATTTGTCACAGTTGCTCCGATCAGATCGGTCTCCTCCATTTTGTAGATATTTTTACGACTTTTGAATCCACATAAACTGCATCGGCAAAATTCGACAACTTCCAAAAGGAGTCATTTGGGGGGGCTCTTGGGAAAAAAGGTTGGGAACCCCTGATCTGGAGGANTGTGTTTTAAACTGTTTAATCCCTTTGTGAATTGTTTCCACTTCTGCGCCGTCCTTTAATTTCTTCATACAGCGGGAATCCAAATGAATGAATCCTGAGTCCAATAACCATCAAAGTCACTCCAACAGTGCTCCTTAATTACGCTTTCATCCTCCTTTAACAAAATACTTAACAGTTTGTGACAGTAGTTGTAGCATTTTTGAGACTTTTAAACTTTAATTACCGCTGTTGCCCCCCCTCCCCCCCTCCTTTGTGTGTGTGTGTGGGGGCACAACTTCCAACAGGACTCATTTGGGGGGGCTCTTGGGAAAAAAGATTGGGAACCCCTGA